GCAGAAAACTAAACTGCAGTTAGTCAAGTAATTTCCGTTAGTTCTCCTCGGTGCGGCCGCCATGAAATGGTAATGAGGAGTTAGCTGAAATAGTGGAGATAAACAAGATTGACGAGAAAATGGGGGCTGTGGTAGGGTCCGGGTGGGGGCAGAACACTACTTCATCTCGGATGCTCATGTGGTTTTGCATAAATGGTTGCGTTGCCGCAATTTTCATCGGTAATTTATTGTCTGTGACGATGAAGCCGCGATACTGCCATTAAATGCTCAAAGTGATTAAAGCAAGAGATTTAAAAAGCTTAGCTGAGACGCGCTATATACGTTTATATATTTTATTGTACTTCGAACAAAAATATTAATAGCAGTTACCAAAATACTATATATATACGCAATGATTGCGCATTAGTGGATGGCCTTGAGCATCTTTGTGACCCAGTCAAGTGTCAACTAGTTTTAATGGTGTGGCAGCAGCGCGAGTGCTTTGACTCTTTGGTTTAGGTAAAACTCTTTTGGCGGCGGCTGCAACAATTCGCAACACGCTAACGAGCTTAAACGAGTCGGGGATTGAAGACAGCCGCGTAGTATCTGTCTGTGCATGAATAAATGAATTTCATTGAAAGCCAATAATTAAATCTATACAGCAAATTATTAAACCCATATATTTACTATGACCTATTGCCAATAGTTGAATATGATGACATTTTTCTAAGAACTTGATGTCAATGAGAAATATGCGCTCCAACAGAGGACTGCGAAATAGTTGCACCTGACCGAACCTCCTGAGTTTATCTCGCCCTTACAGTTGTCAATCAAGTTTCAGCTAAGCAAGTCGATTCCCTTGTTGGATTCACGCACGACGGAGGGCCTGTATACTGCTCCAGCTGCAAAGCAGTACTTGAGTCTACGCAGACTTTACTGTGGTTACCCTACCGAAGTTTAAATTAAAACTAGCATGTGATTTAGCGAACATAATATATATGTATGCATAGGTAAATTATACTAAATTAACACCTTCTTAGAACTAGACTTATATGTGTATGTTGTTTTTGTTTAATTTCTTATCCTCGAACTTATTTTTTACAGTGTCCGAATTTCCTTCTAAAAGTTTTGGCATTATGTGCTTTTTCGGCCCTTAATTTTTTTCGAATAATCCTGAAATTATCTTCTTTCAAAAGCATACTTACAACTTATTGTACTCCTTTGTATCCATTATGAATAAATTCAGTGTGAAAATACAAATGTTCATATCATCTAAAGTACTAGATATCTTTTGTACCCTTTTGTTTGCATTTTATGGGGTCAGTGACCCTTTTATTTACATTATGAGGTTAACGACCCTTTTGTTTACATTTTGCCGAGGTCATTGAACCCTTTGTTTACATTTAAGAGGTCAATAACCCTTTTGTTTACATTTAGCCAAGACAACAACCTTTGTTTACATTTAGCCAAGACATCAACCTTTGTTTACATTCTAAGTTCAATGACCCTTTTGTTTACATTTTATGGGGGCAATGACCCTTTTATTTACATTATGAGGTTAACGACCCTTTTGTTTACATTTTGCCGAGGTCATTGAACCCTTTGTTTACATTTAATAGGTCAATAACCCTTTTGTTTACATTTAGCCAAGTCCACAACCTTTGTTTACATTTAGCCAAGACAACAACCTTTGTTTACATTCTAAGTTCAATGACCCTTTTGCTTACATTTTATGGGGTCAATGACCCTTTTATTTACATTATGAGGTTAACGACCCTTTTGTTTACATTTTGCCGACATCATTGAACCCTTTGTTTACATTTAATAGATCAGTAACCCTTTTGTTCACATTTAGCCAAGTCCACAACCTTTGTCTACATTTAGCCAAGACAACAACCTTTGTTTACATTTTAAGGTCAATGACCCTTTTGTTTACATTTTATGGGGTCAATGACCCTTTTATTTACATTATGAGGTTAACGACCCTTTTGTTTACATTTAATAGGTCAATAACCCTTTTGTTTACATTTAGCCAAGTCCACAACCTTTGTTTACATTTAGTCAAGACAACAACCTTTGTTTACATTCTAAGTTCAATTACCCTTTTGTTTACAATTTATGGGGTCAATGACCCTTTTATTTACATTATGAGGTTAACGACCCTTTTGTTTACATTTTGCCGAGGTCATTGAACCCTTTGTTTACATTTAATAGGTCAATAACCCTTTTGTTTACATTTAGCCAAGTCCACAACCTTTGTTTACATTTAG